CCCATATCAAAAATCATGCTCCTTAAATGTTTTTCATGAAAGAATGCTGAGTAGGAGCCCCAGTGGATGTGCCTGTGAATTCATGCCAGTTAAGTGCCTTACTCCAGAGACTGTGCTCCTCACAATGCAATTGCTGTCTGGCAGGCTGATTAAGCTCCATGTACGTGCACTTAACATCTAAAGGACTACGATAAAGTATTCATTTTAAATGAATCTCATATCTGTTCACAGCAAGGTCTGAGGTAGTTTAGAACCAGGCTATGGGAAATGGATGCTTAGGAAACATGAGAAACAAGGGAAGGGATTTAATGCACAAGACTATCAAGATAAAATGGTAATTGCTACAGAGAAGGCGAACATAATCATAGAGTTATAAACTACCACCAGCTGAGAAAGAGGAGCACTGATAGGAATGAGTGGAAAAAGTTCATTAAAATGGAACTTCTGTTTGGTCTCTTAATATTTAACTTACAATATTTGAAGGAACAATATCAACCATCACTCCACAAAGAAAACCAATATTAATGAAATTGAGCAAAGCAGAAAGGAAAGAAAATTTTGCAATATTAGAGACAAGGTTAATAGACATGGGCACTGAATTGTGAAGCACTGCTGTATTTCTCACAAGGAGCCCACATGGTCAGTGGAACATTTGAATCTACAAGCAGCCAAAACAAGTATTCTGAAAAGTTGCAGATTCTTGCAAGGTTCACTTTTGATGATGCAGTTTATTGAGAAAACAACACTTATATACAACTGGAACATTGAGCAATGAACAACTAACAAATTGAACATATATGAACATCACAATGAACAAGAAACACAATTATATTTGATTTAAATTAGATAAGCCCACACAAAGCCTGACCTACTACTTAAATCAACAGAAAATCTCTCAACTGATTTTTCTCTTAAGGAAAACAGAGTTCAGATCATGAAAGTAGAAACTTGAAAACAGCTAGTATTTTCCATATCCACAGACAGTCAAATTAAAACTCACTATCTCTTAACAGCTTAGCAGTAATTGACTTTTAAATCTGATGTGAATGAACTGGGACTAGGCTACTGAATTCTGCATATAACAAAAAAAAAGTGTAAATTTAAATCAAATGAATTTAAATACTTAATATATCCCAGATTAGAGGAAAGTTCCAGGGAACAGTGCAGCAACAGCAATAAGATTCCAGATAGGGAGAAAAAAAAAAAAAAGGAAAAACAGGCAGACTGGGGGAATCCTGTAGGAAAAAGTAAGAGCTGTGAGGACAGGAGACAAGCAGAAGTAGCTCAGACTACAGGAATTGGACCTTCATGTTGCTCTTCCCATTAAAATGAATAAAATTGCTGCCTGCATTACATTCTCTTCCTCAGTTCATCATCCACATTCAGTTAAACTATAGATTTCTTGCCAAAATCCACTACACCAAAAAAAAAAAAAAAAAAAAAAGGCATGTAAAAACACTTTTTTGCCTAGTCACTTCAACTTGTGAAACAGATGCATGCATGCAACTACATAACAGCCTTTCTCCTCACAACTCCAGCTATAGAAGATGCTGATAAACAATTCTGTTGACAAATCATGCTTCAAAAGCACAATATAAAACTTTTCATTAAAGACAAAAGTTCTTGATGCCAACTGTTAAACTTATTTATTGGATTTTAGGTATTAATCATAAGCCACCTAGCAATGGTAGCTCAGGAGTACAGAGATACGGTATGTAGAACAAAAACAACACAAAGAAAATGAATTATTTCTGGTACGTGTGCAAATTCCCTACTTTCTCTCCAGAAAGAATCTGCAGCCACTACTGTTCACTTGGATTGCATGGCACAGAGTTTTAGAGGTACAAACCCTCATCTCAACAATAATACAGCCCAACTTAAGATATTTCAAGGTCAGCTGGTACTGTTTGGACATAAAGCATTTGTTGTAAAACAGTTTTGCAAACTGCTTAATACAGACAGCTGTGGAGATGTATCAGCCAGCCTGCAGTAGTCAATGAGCAACTCTGAAAGCTGTGAGAAACCAGCTTACCTTCTTCTAACAGAATGGATGTGCCAAGATGCTAAACACAAAAGAGGTGAGTAAAAGTTCTGACAAAGAAATGCACTTACACTGCAGTAACAGTTTAGCTCTCCATCCACTACAAAAGCTCAGGGCCTTCAGCAGCAGGAGGCACTGGGGAGGCAGATTTATATCTAAGCAGACAGAAGTCACCACTCCTTCAGATTTTTAGCTATGATAATTCTAAACTCCCATGACATTTATGTAACAAATTGATTTTTTTTTTTTATTTCTGAACATTTACTTATGCTATTCTATTTGGCTGGAAGGAACGGGAAAAGAAAAACTCTGATTTCCTGATGGGCTGATAGTATCTACTACCAAGAGCGTATTACTTAAGTGTAGTGCTGGTTGTTCACTTATTTCCACCATTTGTATGTATATCATAGTAATTAAATACATACTGTATTAGAAAATCTAGTCAATCTATGTGTAAGTACCAGATACTTGCATTTTCCTCATGTTATACTACATTATGTTAATCTGGGCTTTGTTTCTGTAAAAAAAACCATTTCCAAAGACAAACTGACTCAAATTCTGTCATGGACTCTTGGTGTGACTTCTACAATACCTCAGTCAACACTGCAATAGAGCTTGTGAATGGTCTTTGAGAAGTCTATAGGTGGTTTTGAGCAGTTAGCAAAATTCATATTGGAGGCGCACTCTGTAAAGAGCACAAGTCACATGCAAGGCACCTAGGAGCAACATGTCTGTGTTCACTGGACTGCATAAATGTCTTTGAGATGAGCATTTGATTTGCTCTCTTTCATTCACTACAGCCAAATCACCAATTTCTATCTACTTTGGCCAAACCAGCTTTGGACCTGCTCATCCATACCTTACTTAGACATTTGCACATTTTAAGCAACTGTAACAGTGATTTCACATCCTGCCATACCACAGAGTATTAACATTTCTCCCAGTTTTTCTCAGCTTAGGAGTTTTAGGAACCTGTTCTAAATTCAAGCTAAATGATAAGCTACTAAGCTCCATTTAACACATATACGAATATGGTACTCCAATTAAAATTAGTATATGGGATATGAATACGGTATTCCATTAAAAATTTGACCCAGTACTTTTATTATTACCTGTATCCTGTACAAAACCTGTGGAGCTTTTACAGGTAATTTAACTAGTACAACTGCTGGGAACCAGTTTAGAAACAGCTGAGGATTCTAACCTAAACACATCATCGATTAAGAGAAGGGAAAGGGAGCCAGGCCTCAAGAATTCTGGGATCCACAAAATACTATCTTCTAAGGAGTTTTATCCTCTAGCAACTGTTACAATAACATACAAGCCTAAATGTCTACTCTTAAATACTGCATTAAATACTACTGGCTCTGGTATTTGCTGACTGCTCCAGCCACAACAACAAATTACTAATGCTTTCATTTGCCAATTTGATGGTAAGTCATCATCTCTCAAAATAGAAACCAACAAACATTTTCCTAGGGGAAAAGCAATGTATAGCTTTTCTGCTTCCTCTGAAATCACAGCTGAATTCTGATTCCATATCAAGGGTCTCTGAGTGGGTGACAGTGTATAAGCAGAACGATCATGGAACAATCAGACAAAAATGACACTAATTTGCCTTCTGATCTCACACTGACTTCAGATGTACAAAGCATGTGAGTAGATACTCATATGCATTTGGCTAGGAAACTTAATTTACTTAAAGTGAAAAAACTACTGATATAATTTCCTGTCTTTTCTCTCATGGAAATCAAGTTAGGTAATAAACTGAAGACTCTCTGAGTTGTTATGATTAGTAAAGATGAAGAAGCATTAAGTTCATTTCAACTTTTCAGCAATGATGAAAAATACAGAGCTCCACCATGAACTGTCATATTGAACAAGCAAAATAGATTTGCATGGAAAAAGGATTAAATGGAGCTGCAAAGGAAGGAAAGTGCAATGAAAAACAGTTTCTTTCCTAAGAATACTGGCCGATTCTTCCTCTCTCCTGTCTTTTATGTAATTCTTGGATTATTTTCTCTCATTGCCATTCCCGTTGTCATTCAAACTTGTTTGAGAGCTTGTTTGAAAGCAGAGCTGCACAATTTTGCTCACTTTAGAAATTCATTTTCACATATAAATCAGTTTTACAAATACTGAATTTACTCTTGCTGAAGTTAATTTTTGGCCACAGATTTCTGTGAATAAAAATCTTTAAAATTCACTTGGGATTAGTTCATTAAATAAAGAGAATTTAGAAGCTACATATGAGTTGGCCCTAAGTCTGAATTCAATCAGTAGAAGAAAAATAAGAGAAAAAGAAGACAACGGAATTTAAAGATAATCATAACTACAGCTGAAGTACTAACTAGACAAAATGGTTCAGTGTTGGCAATATAGCTAATTCTATTGTCTAGAAAGCTGACAACAGGTCTATCTTATAGTTTCTGACAAGAATGCAATGAACAGCTGGTCAGTTCTGCTCAACCTCTGCTTCAATTAAAAGAAAGTGATCACGCAGTTCTGAATAATTATAGTATCTCATGACTAAATTAAACCCTGATGCTTATAAGTGGCCTGATATTAAGCCATAACAGCACAATTTATTTCCACTGCAAGAAAAAAACCCTAGATTTCAGAACATTCAAGAGCTACATCTCATATTAGGAGTTAATAAATGCAGAGAATACTTAGCAAGCATGAGAATACTCACACAAAAGCACAGGTCAGTCCTGTGTGATATCATCTTTTGCCAGTAGTAATATTTTGCTGGCACTGTGTTTAAGGCAGAGACCTATTCTAGGCCACAAAGATTTTGGGGGTGTTTGAGGGTGGATAATGTTAGAAGAACAAGCAGAGTTCAGGTCCCTTAGATACTATTTCTTTGAATAAAAAGGTAGAAATTGTTAAGTTGTGGAAAGGATAAAGACTGTAAGAAAGGACAATGCTATACTGGCTTTTGTTTTGAATGATTTTTGGGGGGGGGTGGGAATTGGAATTTCTATAGAACCTGATTCTTTTTGCTTTGAGATTCTCTCTTATCTTTTCATTCAGATTCTTGGCAGAGCACTAATGTCATGGGAAATAAATAGACCTTTTTCTTCAACAGTGAGTCATAGAGCAAGTTCAAAAAGAATCTGCAATTGCATATGGTCTGTAAGGCTTATTAGTATCCAAAAAATTAATTGTGCACATCAAAGATTACAAACTGAAAATCCTGTTCTTTCTCTGAGCACCTAAACTCAGAACATCTGGCACAAACTTCTTGTTCTTGTTCTTTTTTTCTTTTTTTTAAATTAAATATTTTCTATAACAGTGACTAACAGCTAGGTTACACCCCTTGCATGTCCACAACTTGAAAAAGTACATTTGTTTGATCAAACTGCAGAGAAATATCATCACTGACACGAAAGGTCTTAACTATCAAAGACAAGACATGCTCCATTCATCTCAGTAAGTTCTGGCATAGACTACAACTAGAATAGATCTTTTTGTTTTCACTTTTCAAAGAAAAAAAAAAAATCCAACTTTTTGGACCTATACTTACACAAAACAATTGCATCCCCAGTAGCTAGTCTCAATTCTTTCATGCTCCAAAGGCTTCTAAGCCATAAGATAATTGGCAACCAAGACTGGGCGCTGGCTCATAAGCAAGATCCTGCCTCCAAACTCAAGGCTGCACGAGGCAGCCATGGCATGTATTAAAAATGATAGATAATGAAGTTGCATGCATCTTCACTGACAGACATCACAAGACAGATGACAACAGTGAGAAGGGATGGGACAGCATGCAAATGTCAGTACTCAGAAGTAATTTGGCAATGAAAAATACTGTAATATTCTTGATGAAGCTTGGTGAATTTTATTGGAAACAACAAAGAGAAAGCATTTCTCCTATGAAGTTTCTACTGATTCATTGCTTCCATTTGTTGTATTTCTTCCAGTTTTAAGCACAACCAGCACACAGCAGGGAAATTCTTTCAAATTACGTATTGTGATAAATTAGCATTCTATTTGCTATATTGATATGTAGCTCATTTTATCACTATGGTAATGCAAAGGAAAACCATATTTATCCTATACTAGTTTTGTTTTCTTCTGACAAGGCTATTTGTCACCACAGGAAATTCCATGTTCATAAAACTGGATGGCTGACATTTCCAGCATATGCTTTGAGAGGAATAACAATCCTCCTAATCAATTTTGCCAATTACATCAGTGTTTGTCATAATACAAAAACACTTCTTCACATACTGAAAGACCAGCAAGGAGCTCTTCCTAAGTCATCTGGATCTGGAAAGCAAAAGGTTGCATTCTCATTAATGTGTAAATACATAGAGTAAGTGAAGTAATAAGCAATTTAATCCAGACATGATGGATAATTAATTCTGTGATGTAAAACGAGAGCCAGATCCCTTACAATACAGTGTAAATGCATAACACTATGAAGACTGAGAAAGTTTGTGTGACCCTTAATTTTTTAGATCCAGGCTGTAAAGCATAATTTCTTGGATAAAAATAGCTTTCTGTATATTCTTTCTTTTGTATTCTGAACAACTGCTTGTCAGTGACCAGATGAATTTTCACTTTCTAGACAAAAAATTTTTGATGATCTGTTGCAAGTTGTCTTAGAAATATGAGTAAAATTTAAGTTATCACCTTCATGAGTGAAAAATAAGCTTTTCTCAAGATAGAAGTTTGATTTCAAAATTTTCCTTTTGACTATAAGAAATGACAATTCTGTGCTTCAAATAAGCCAACTCGGGTCAAGATTAATACAGCATCCATTAATTAGTTTGTTGATATCATAAAGGCTTTTCTTGACATCCCACTGATGAATGAGGGAATTTGCATCTCAGCAGGTAAACATGTTTGATATTTCCTTAATCTACTGCACAGCATTTGCTGCAGCCAAAAATAAGAGAGAAAGCAGGATGCAGAGTTAAAACAATTTTTAAAAGAGATTACTAGTTACAAAGGAATATGAATGAAGAATAACTTTCAAAAATAACACATATTCTGTACTGATGTGTTCCATAAACATTTTCTTCGCTAATGGAAGCCTTCAGGGAACAAATAGTTATTTCATATGCCTTCCATTCTGCTCAAGTCATCTTAGATTTTCATTGTAGCTCTGCCTTTTATTTTCTTCTGTTCTCCTTGCCTTGGTTAGATTAGAGAGGTAGGGTGTTAATGGGGTACTTGATGAAGATTGAAGACCTATTTTCTCCCCCTTTGGAGACCAGCCTAATTTGAACAAATTGAGAAGAGTGAAGCAGTCTCTTCATGTCCTTGGGAAAAGCCTTTGCCATTTCAGCATTTCAAGACATGGTCCCCTTTCTTCACAGTGAAGAAGAAAGAAAAGGTGCCAGCACAAGAAGGTTCTGAATAATTTTATATAATGTCAGTGGGGCAGCAAAAGCTCCCTTTCAATCTCCTTTATGGTTGGTGAGGATGCGAACGCAAGGTGGATCCAGGAGAGGAATGCAAAGAACTAGCGCTTGCAGCTCGAACAGGACGAGAAACAAGCTGTTGTTCACCAGTCCCCAACTCTGTCGTTGCTACTTCCTTACAACCCTCATCCTTGTGGGTACCACTTTGTGCAGGGCATTCAAAATGCACACAGTGAAACACCTGGAGAGAACAAAAAAGGAAGATAAACAATTAAATGCTGGCAAAAGCATGATCAAAGTAAGATGAAATCCATATGCAAGCATGCAGGCCAGATCAGTGCAAAAGCACTTGGTCAAATAAGAATGCCTCAATGTGAGCTCACAACCATTATTCCGTGTGACAGAAATATTACAAAGTGATACAAGTTATAAGAGTGGAGCAAGAGAAGGCCTACAAATTATACAAACTTTTACATATGACACTGAAAATCAGAAAGATGGTTCTATGGCAGACAGAGATAGTTGTGATTTTTCCTTTGCCAAACAGCATAAATATTTAATACATGCTATTGGAAAACAACAACAATTACATTAATTGTTTTATACATCTAATGTGATTTAAGTACATCTCCAAAAGACTGCTATTCACACACACTAGAAATGGAATTTAAATCATTACCAATATGATCCTATTTCAAGATTGCCCACTTCTGTAACAACAATGGTAGCTCTGCAGATGTATTCTGGAGTTATGCAGAAATGCATTCAAGACTGTTCAAGGAAACTGCTATTGAAGCAGATGGAATGTGCCCTTTATTACAGTGATCAGTTTCGAAGGCTTCGAACAATACCTGGACCACTATCATCGATCTTACATGTAGCTGATGTCTTTAAAGCTCTTCTCACAAAGAAGTGTAATTGCTTCTAATCCTAACTGCCCTTTCCCAGGCCTTGTCAAGTTAAAATGGACAAAATCAAATACCATAAACAAAACATAGGTACACTACATATTCATAGAGGAATACACAGTATTATATTTTTTTTTATCCTTTCTTTAATACAACTGAAAATCCTATTACTCTTTTTGACCATCCTTAACAAGTGCATATTGAGCAGACATCTGCAATGACGTCTGCAATAGCCCCTGGGTCTTTTCTGAGAAGGTAGCTAGTTAATTCAAATTCTAACAGCATGAATGAAATGAATAAAAAAGCAAATGCCAAAAAACACTCACAGTTCACTGCCCTTTTTTTTTTTTTCCCCGTCATATTTTCTTGTACCTTTCAATGTAGAAATTCCTTCAGATTTTATATAGATACACTATGATGTATGTTCATATTTCCATATCTATGTACGCATGTTCACATAAAGGTGCAGTGCCACCTCTCTATCTGCACCATTGCCACATGTGCAAAGAATGGAAAAATGGCTTTTTCTCTGCATTTCTTCTGGTGGTTTTTTTTTCTAAAGTCAAACTAATTTCTACAGTGGCATGAGTTCCCTCCATCTGCTACCATTCTTAAGAAGCCAATTTTTGTGTTCAGTTCCATTTCTTGAGAAGCCAATTTTACATTCATTGCTCTCCTTTGCTTTTTAATGTAACAGCTATTGACAGTTTTCCAGCCATACTCATCAGTATCAGTATTTTTAGAAGAGAACAATATATCTCATCGTCGTATCTCTTTAATACATAGCTTTCCTTGAAAGGCAGTACACTCTAAAGAAAGGAATGGATATCTATGAGTTAGAAATTCCTTATCTCTACTGTATCTTACACCAATGAGGTTTTTCACCTGAAGTTTCACTTCCTATAGGATGTAAAAACATAGTACAGTTAGCACGCAAATCTAGCTGATACTAGTCTATAAAATCGGAAGTAACTATTCTTAAATTTCAACTTTCCTTGTTACCACTCTTTCACAGTAAATTCCCAGCATCTGGCAAATGTTAACAAGTCTGAGAATTCACAACATCATTTTCATTACTCTGCCACTTTAACATATGCAGAACACAGCTTGTGAAAGAATCAGATAGACCTCATATACTTCAGTATTGGAATTATGTATTTAAGCCAGGTACTCTTGTAACAAAAAATCTGGTATGATTTTCTCTATAAAAGCTGAGATCACACTTCAGTATCTTTCTCTAATTAGTAGCATGTTAAGTTCACCTGGAGATTTGAAGGAAGGTTTGACATACAAAGCAAGTACATACACTCCGGTGCAGTAATTTGTTAGATAAGGCTTTCCCATTAGCAATTAGATGCTATTTCCAGGTCAGTGCTACTCGAAAGGAATAACAATAGAAAGCTTATATAGTCAGTTAGAAGCATCAGATGACCTGCCTGACAAATGATAAAAAAAAGGCCAAGAAAAAAATATTTTATTTATGAAGGTGGTAAGCTCAAGAAAAATAGTTACATTTTTATCATGTTGTAAAATACAAAAGAAATTTACTAGGTTGAGTAAATCTATGAGCATCCTATCTTTCAACACATAGAAAATATGGTGAATGAAAGATGAGTTTAAAAGATGAAAACATTTACAAAACTGAGAAATTCTGTGGGTTTTCTGTGCTTGCTTTTTTGGTAGCTACAAAAACCAGATTGTGATTCAAAGTTAAGAGGTATGCTGTGGCAGTGTTTTGACAGCACAAGTAGGTAATACTCTCCTACCTGCTACAGTTAAAACTTGTGATGAGAACATGCTGCCATTAACATCTTTTGTTTAAAGTGAAAATGGTTTGACATAACATACCACTTGCTGTGGGCAAACAATTCCAGAAATGCTTACATTCCTATGGAAGTGACTAGCAAAACTATCAACTCCAGAACAAACTGAAACTTTTGTTACAATGCTGTTATTTAAACTGGATTTATGAAAAATATCTTGCTACATACTTCAGATAATAAAACTTTATGACAAAATATTATACATTATTTGCTTCATACATATATCAAAGGAGTATAATACGGTAGGCTGTGAAAGCTAATAATGTTCTTTTTAGAAGCTTTAGCATCAATAAACTGAGTAAAAATTAAAATAAATTAGCATGGGGCACTGTTCTTAAAGACAAAAGACAGAAGGACTTAGAATGGCAATGTATTTATAGTTTCACCAAACCTTTACATGAATAGGCATAACCTCAACTTCCGCATGCTGATCTTCAGTGTAGTTATGCAGAGCTCCATCTATCAGTAACTAAACAAGATATTAAATGTCTTGTAAACGTAAACTGATTTGTAATTAGAATTATGTTTAGAAGTCCATATGCCCATTACTTTTCAGGGCTATCTTTAAGAATTAAAAGTTGGAAGCAGTGTTTCTTGTAGGCTGATTTTCTAAGTTTAATCAGCATGTCTCATATTCTCTTTTAATGAAGATTAAGAAATTACAGAGATCGGCATGCAAGCAAATAGGACTGCCTATACTGATCAGTAATGGAAAAGGCCTTTTTCGTGCACATATAACAACCCCGGAGGCAGTTTCTCATTCTGTATTTCTGAGTACTCACTGATGAAGACTGAACTGTCCTCCACAAGAGGCAGTCCTTAGGAAAATTAAAATATAACTAATATTTTTGGTTCAATTTAATGGTCAGCTTCTTTCCAATTGTCTGCTGAAAGCTAATGTTGACATCTCATTGTACAAACAATGCTATCTGACAGCTCATTCAATGCTCAGAACTAGCATCCCCTTACAATAAATATCAGAATGGTTAAGGGTGGAAGGGATCCCTGGAGGTCATCTGATCCAATCCTCATCAGTAATCACTAATAATCACAAATCACTAATAAGGGTAGAACTGACAAGCTCTAACACCATGACCTACGGTTCACTATAAAGGGTGAAAGTACAGTGTTCTGTGGGTGTAGTATGCAGAAGGACACAGAAGGAGCTATCAGTGCCTCTGTTTTGTTACATAAGGTCCTGATGTTGCAAAGACATACACATGTTCTTAAATTTACATACAGTAAATTGTTTCACTGAAGTCAACTGTCCTTTGAGACATTAAACAACAATGATTAAAGACAGAGGCACAAGTAAACAGAAAGAGAATGATATTGCACTTGGTTGGTTGTCACAAGACATTTTTTCTGTGTAAGATGAATTGAAGAAATCCCTTCAGCCACTGTTGGCTAACTGATTTACCAAATATGAAAGCTAGTTATAAGAGAAACTTATATAAATAAGATTTTCTTATGAAGAATGACATTTTTCTTGCTTTTGATTCATTAAGAAGATAATACAAAAGCAATAAAACCAAGTAATCAGAAACTATACACCTTTCTCTAGTTCACTACAATGCTGTTTTTATCAGTCATCAAAATGAGAAATGATTTAAATATTAACCAAACCTGACAGAAATGCTTGTTTGCAGTGTACAGGTCAAAACCTGAAACACACTGATGGTACTTTGTCTGTAAAACACATCAAACCAAAATTATCTTCCACTCTAGCAACAACCTTTCAAGTCTGTAGAGTGCAGAAATATGATAACACCATTCACTAATATTTAAATACAGAAAGCACTCATTCTCATTCTGCTAGATTTCCAGAGCAAAATCAAGAAAGAAAAGAAAAAGCTCTCTTTAGAGGGTATTATTAATTTCATTGTAAGACAACAAAAATTGTATAGTTAAATATTCAAGAATATAAGTTGTATTAGCAAATCCTTACCTCATTAGCTGTGTTCTGAGTTCCAACTATTCTGATAAAAGATGCAGGCTGTTTATCAAAAGTGATTGTTTGCCAGGACCTACAAAAAAAAAAATAATAATAATTCAGAAAGACACACAAATATTACATATGGTCACCACAGCTTGCAGTGAAATACAGAGGGAGTTCATCCAAATGACAGTACATAATCACTTAAAAGGACAAACAAAGAAACACTTTGCAGCACCTGAATTTCCAACACTATTTGTTCATTCTTATTTTTAAGTGACTTGTCTCTGCTTCTATGTATTCATAGGCAGTTTATATTACTACAACCTCCATGCAGAAATAATATTCACAGTACTACAACAAGAGAGAAGATAAATAAAAGTAGATGCCTCTGTTAACTACTCATGAGAAATTTCAATCATCAAAGCTCAGTTAAAGAAAATTATAGCTGTAGGAAAAACAACCAACCACCCCAACTCATTCTGTAAGTGGAGCAGTGGAGGCAGAGAAGGGAGCCCAGTCTTCTAAGTGACATAATGCATTCTTTTCAGTTCAGATTGTGAGGATTTCTCCACCTCACCCTCCCAGAGCTAGAGTGTAGCTTTGTATCTAAAAGCTTGATTGGGATCACTATAACCTTCTTGCTTCATTTGTACTCTTCTGATTTGGGCAAGGTACATTACAAGGAGCTTCATGAATGGCTGGCAAAGGACACCACTGCCAATCACACCTTTGTGCTCACAGAACACACTGACAGTAAAACAGAACAATTAAAAAGGTCACAGGAGTTAGAGGCTCCTATGCCAGTCTTCCATTGCGGCCGATGAGTGCTTTTACACAATAGAATTTATATTACCTTTTTATTCATAAAATATGAAAGGTAGATACAGAATCAACTTTTCAGCAAAACTAGACTCCACCATAGAAGGCTTTAGAGATAAAATGTCATTAAGAATAACCAGATTAACTCACCAAACAGGATAAGGATTGGATGAAATTATACTGAAAGTGTCCAAAATACCTTCAGAAATGCTCACACAAGAAATAAAGGACTCATAACAAAACTGCAACAAAACACTGCTCACCATCAGTAAGTAGAGTGCACAAAGGCATGCAGCATTAACAGCTTTGTTGCTCAGTATATGTTGTGCACTGGAAACTTACCCTGGCAGAAAGCTATCATCTCATTGACACAAACATGGCATTTCTGGGTCTGATTTAGTATTTGCTTAAAGAAGATTGTGAGCCTGATTAAGACCTAATTTCATGTAGTTTACTGGTATTACTGCATGAAGTAATGGATGTGATTAGAGCTGCTTGTAGTAATAGAAACGTGAGGTCTGAATCAGGCCCTGGAGGTAGAGCTATTACCTATCTGCATTTCACAATTTATTTATAACCCTTAAGTGGCTATGTTCTCCTTCAAGCTGTTTCTTCAAGCCCTAAATAAAATATAAAATGCAAATGAAGTGTTATCATAGAATCATAGAATGGCCTGGGTTGAAAAGGACCACAATGATCATCAATTTCAACACCCTTGCTAAGTGCAGGGTTGCCAACCACCAGACCAGGCTGCCCAGAGCCACATCCAGCCTGGCCTTGAATGCCTCCACGGATGGGGCATCCACAACCTCCTTGGGCAACCTGTTCCAGTACTTCATCACCCTCTGTGTGAAAAAATTCCTCACTTGTTCTAATGTAAACCTCCCCAGTTCTGTTGACTATTCCAAGATCTGAAAAGTTGCCATGATCTAAGAATTTTTTTCCCCTTAACAGGAGATTTTACTTGAGTTTTCTTCTCATTTTAGTCTACTACAGCCAGTCAGCTAACCTTCACTGCCAAGTGTAGACGTGACAATTAGTCAATCGCAACATTATTTCTCTTAACAAAGTATTCCCACAGTTAGTACAATGCATATGCTTTCATATTTATTGATGTGAACTTTAATAAGAAAAGTGATGATGTTAAAAATCAGATCTCTCCATTCAGTGATTTGTAAAATATTAGTAACTGTTCTATACAAAAAGGGTTCAGAACCACAGGAAAGTTCTTGAGAACAGCCTATGCTTTCCTAGCTTTTAAGATAGAGTTTGTTTCCTGTGACCACCCCCCCCCCAAAAAAAAAAAAAAAAAAAGACTGCCAGATGATAGCAAGAAGGATTGAGAGAAAGATCCTTTGAGAATGCTCATCTAGATCAGCACCTCCAGGAATCTCTTAAGTTCTTCCACTTCCCTTCCTTTCTCCTATACTGCTGTTATTTGGATTCAATTATAATTACCCTTTCAATAATTTTTCAGTAATTCCAAAACATGTTATAAAATATAAAAAAACTGAAGAATTTTTGAAAAAGAACGTGAGATTTGAATTGAGATAGAGTTTTCAGTAAATTTGGTCCTAAAAATATTTACTATTTTATTATGTCCATTTTGTTCCCTTCCCACTGGGGGAAGAAAAAACCTGAAATTTTAAAACTGTACACCGCTTGCAGAAGAGTTATTAAGATTCAAGAATACTGCCACCAGAGAATTAGCACTTGATGAGATAATAAGAACATCAGGTCTCTTGATTTATTTCTTTAGCAAAAAGAAAAAAGCATAGTAGAAAACAAGAAAAAACTGATTTGGAAAAAGTCAATTTGGAAATAAGGAAGATAAACCGTCATCACTAAAATGCTGCAACAATTTTGACTATAACAGAACACTTGAGAACATCATAGAATCACAAAGAATCATAGAATCACAAGGTTGGAAATGACCTGCAAAATCATCTAGTCCAACCGTCCTCCCATTACCACTGCTACCACAAGCACTAAACTGTATCTCACAGCTCCTCATCCAGACACCTCTTGAACACTGCCAGGGATGGCGACTCCACCACCTCCCTGGGCAGCCATTCCAGTGCCTGACCACTCTGAGAGAAAAAGTTCTTCCTTAAGTCTAACCTAAATCTCCTCTTGTGGCCATTTCCTCAGGTAACATTGATATATACGAGGGAATATCTCTCCAGAACAAGTATAATTATGCAGTAGAAAGACAATTTATACAGTGTAACTATACCCATATGGGAAGACAGATAACTGAAAAAAATATCATGACTTGTGTGTGCTCTCTTTTTATACTTTCTGCTGATAAAATAAATTCAGTCAGACTTCTATTTATGTATGAAGTCATAACAACCATCTTCAGTGGCATTCTCAATTAAACAAAAGACATTCTTAGCAAACCTTCAGTTTCTTTTTAATTTTCTTATTTTATTGCAAGTTATGCTTTTAACATAATTTCAGTTTCTCCATAGAATTTTTACTTTGCAAATGTTTAGTCAAGCCATGAATATTTGCTTATTTCCTTTCCTCATGAGAAATAATACTTCTATTATCATAATTCCTTTTATAAAAATTTCCAGCAAATTCAATGAATATCTCCAGTGTTGATGCATTCATATGTCACTGTATTCAAGGAACAGCAGCATTAAACCTTTTCTAAAACATCACTATTTTTGGTCTGGGATTAAATACTTCTGTAAAATAAGAGTCAGTTCTTCACCTTGGCTCCCCTCTGCTAAGGAAACAAACCTTTCAAGCTAATGACAGTGCTTTCTTTCCTATTAACTGACATTGTCACCTTTGGACTTCCTGTATTTGTGTATTCTTTATTAATGATTAGTGATTTTTTCAGTGTTTAGATTTTTTAAATATTCAGGGAGGAGTGTAGATGGCTTCTTTTTTTCTGCTTTCATACCCACCTTGGTGGCTGATTCTTTTGGGATTTGCACCTCAATATACAGCAGTCTTGGTCATCACCTCTAAGATAACACTAGGAACTATCAGTGTACTCAGACTCGTACCAGGGTCCTCAAGATGAAATGCATCACTGTGGTTTGGCCAGCAAAGGTCTCCTGATAAAGTAGCTCAATTTTCCAAAAGAAATTAGCCTTGCTACAGCCCTACGGTGTTTTATTTAACACTCTACATCTCACCTCTGCCACCCAGCTTCTAACTCTCTTGTTCTGCCTGACTCCCCTAAGGAGATGCAGTAATTGATGATTAGCATTCCTAAGCCATGCTTGCATCCTGTGAGCCTGTCATATTTAATTACCTTTTAACTATATTCGTCTTCTATAATAGACTGAACATAATTTAGATAATTATCTTTTGCTCTCTTATTCTCTGACTCTGCCCGTCTTACTTAGAACTCCTTGCAATGAAAATCACTTTCTCTGCTCAAAGATATAAACAGACTCTTGGGCAAAATGCTTTCATCTCTCCAACAGCTGTCACTGAAAACTCGATGGCTCTGTGCAACCTATTCACTATATTCTATTCTCAGCAAGAAGAAAATCATTAGAAACCTCTCTACTTTCATGTTTTTTTTTTTCCTTTCTCTTTATTAGCCTATTGCAAGAAGAATGCAAGAAAAACTGATGTCCGTGTAAATTATAATAATAGCTTGCCATTGCTTAAGCTATCTATAGCTTTAAAATTGCAATTCACCTCTTCAAGAATTTAATGGCTTTTCTCAGCATTTAAAATTCTTGCCTAGTTATCTCCATGAAAAACTGATATCTTCCTAGAGATTTATTATATAGGATGGGATATAAATAGTGACTCATCCCATTTATTTTCTCCTCTTCCAGAAGGAACAAATTAAGAAAGAAGTGGAAGCTTATCTTTTATTGAGATTTTCTAATGATCCACTGGCATTACAAAAATACTACCGCACTGTGGGATCACCAGAGCAGCACTGATTATAGCTGAAACCAAGTTCAGGCCAAAGACATAAGAGCAAAGAGAAAGATATTACTTGTAACCAAAATTCATCAAGATGTAATAACCATATCATATTCATTTCCTGGCTTGCCTTAGGCTAACTATGTGAGTTTTGTGAGTGCATGCTGCAGCTTTTCCTTTTCCAAAGTGTCATACACCTCCATTTTTTGTTCCTCCCTCCAAAAATAAGCAAAAGAGTTGAAAAAAAAGCAGAAACAAACAACTGTTGAAAAATTTCAACTGTCAACAAGAAACCTCCATTTTGCTTTCTAATACTTGCCCACACGTGTCTAATTCTGTAAGTGACAAAACATGCCTCAGGTT